ATTGAGGAGCAGCAATACGATATTGTCTGTCTCACTCCCTGTGTACTAGGTGGCTGCGTGGCGTGGGCCACGCCGCGCGACAACCCCACATGCATGGATCTGCTGGCTATGTTTGTTGCTGAGCACAAGGGCAGTATTGAGCCACATGCTGCTGGCGCATGTTGTAATGCCAAGGGTGTTATGGAGCCAGCAAGTGTCGCAAGTATGTACCAAGGTGGTGGAGGGGGCGGAGAGGGGCATGGCCTTGCGGCCTTTGTTCGAGCGCTGGTGTGGCAGTCAACAGAGTGGTCAAGACGACGGCAGCACGGACTGGCGGCTCCCGGACGACGCAACGCGCGTTCAGTCCTATGACAATGTATTGCGACGCACTGTGGGACCTCTTGTTCACTGCTGCTGCTATGGGACAACCCGGGCGACTGCCGCCGAGCTTTGGATGGGTCGCATTGCTGGATCCAGTGGATCGCCGCATCGGCACCCGCGTCGCCCTCACTGGCTCGTGGCCCAAGAAATAAGGTATTGACAGCGGTCTGTTCCGATCGCACTTTTGCTGTCGGCCGCTAGTAACTGCTGCGCCGATAGATTGCATTCCCAGCTCCCCAGGCGCGCAGTGAGCGCGCGCGGGTCAGGCAAAGGAAGGGCGCGCGGTTGACAACAAGCTCACTAGCGGTGCCAAGTTGGGCCAGATCTCGACCGGAGGACGATGCAAGCCAGCAGCACTGCCCTCCGCGGCCGGGCCTCTAGCCGTCAGGTGCGAAATAGATAAACATGAATAGTGGCTTGTATTCACGGCCATCTCAGTGGTGGCGAGTGCACCAGCCCACATGCAGCATGTGCAGACCTCCGCCGCTGCGAGATGAGATGTGCAGCAGCCCACAGGCCGCAACCAAGAAAGGCCAGGCAACCAAGCTGCTGCTGCCCCAAATTCAGGGGGATGAATTGCACAACACTTTGTACACATGCCCCCCGCCCTCACAACACGCCACCGCCGCCTTGCTCTACGAAATCAGGCGCCCGTCGGCGCCGCCGGCCGCGCGCCGCGCGCCCCCCTGCGCCGCTGCGCGCGCCACGTGTCCGCGACCGGCAGCAACAACAGCACCTCGGCTGAGGCGCCGGCGCAGAGCAATGTTCCGGGGATCGAGCTGCTGGCGTGGCTCAAGCGCCAGGGCGCGCAGCAGGACAAGGTGGGCACATAAAGCTGCCAATCCAAAACCAACCTGCGCCTGCTGCACCCCAGCACCGAACCAGCGGCGGCGCGGCCCGCGTCGGGGCGAGACTCGCGCGGCAATCTCCTCACGTGCCCTTTCGAGCTCGCCAGGCCGCGGGTTCTGGGTGTGCGGCGCATGGCAGTCATCCGTCAAGCAGCAGGCGCCTGGGAGTGCAGCCCCATCCGTGCAGCAGCAATACACGCATGCTCGCGCGTCGCGCAGCCATGGGGCACTGCGCTGCCCATAGGAAACCATGGACAGGCGTTCCATTGACAGCGCCGTGCCCCTTGATTGCGACGCGTGGATTCGCCGTCCGTTTGTGAAGCGTTTGAAGTGTACCGTGCACCCATGTGTGCGCGCGCACGCACACGCGCGCGCGCACACACACACACACCCACACACACACACACACACACACACACACACACACACACACACACATACACACGAGAAACACACGTGCGCGCACTTGCGTACACACATAATCCCCCGCAGGTGACGATCCGCACGCTGGAAGTGGCGTCTGCGGGGCGGCCCCTTGACGTGACCGTGGCGGCGCAGCCCCTGGCGGCGGGGGAGGTGGCGCTGAGCATTCCCGACGAGCTGGTGGTGACCGTCGACCGCATCGTGCAGAGCGAGACGCTCGGTGAGGCGCCTGGGTGCATGGCTGTGTGTGTGTGTGTGTGTGTGTGTGTGTTGTGCGAGCTTGCGGGAGGGGAGGGTGTCACGCGGGAGTGCATGCGAGTGTGCGTAAGGTCAGGGATGTGGGTGAGCATGCGTGCACGTGCTTGTGTGTGTGCGTGTGAGAGAGAGAGAGAGGGAGAGAGGGGGAGAGAGAGAGAGAGCGAGAGAGCGAGAGAGAGAAGGAGGCACAACCAACCGCTGACACGGCAAGCAACTGCAAATCACGCAACCGTGTGCCTACGCGCGCATGCGTGTTTGAGTACATGCGCAAGTGCTTGCAAGTTTGTGTGCGTGCGCACGTGCGTGCACATGCGTTTCTGGCGGGCCCATTTGTGCAGATTGCAGCAGGGCTGAACGACTGCAATGCTGGTTGGGGGCTGCCATGGAGCAGCTGGCGTGGTCAAGCAGCAGCCGCCAACCAGCATTGCTGCCAACGACTGCAACGCTGGCCGCCAACCATCTGCCATACGGCCGGCATACTGATCCCCATCCCAACACGCGTGCGTCCCGCGCCACATCGCGCAGCCGAGATGCTCACTGCCGGGAAGCTGTCTGAGCTGGCGGTGCTGACGCTGTACCTTATGTACGAGAAGAAGGTGGGGGAAAAGCTGGCAGATGATGTCAGCACAGGGTGGCAGTGACGCGGGTGCTCGGTGACATCAGCTGGTGTTGCGTCACGACCGCGTCAAGCCAATGCCAAAAGCGGCAGGGATGGCGGGCAGGCCGGCGGCGTGGCCCTGGGGCTGCGCCAGAAGGCTGCCTCCACGGCGGCTCATGTGGGGCGTCGGCGTGGCCCTGCACCGCGCCACCGCTTTCGTGCATGGCGGGTGTCGTCCTGAGAGCAGGAGCTTGCCGCCCTGACCGCCATGCATGAATCTTTACCACCGATTTATCATTGCACCTTCCAAAACCTCCCGTATTGCACACTATGCTATTCATTTTCCAGATCTCCAAGGAGTCTGAGTGGTACCACTTCATCAAGGAGCTGGACAGGCAGAGGGCGCGCGGGGTGCAGGTGAGCAGGATCTGATCTGCAGTCCAGCGAGGCCGAGAGATCTCGCAGCGGGCACACGAGCAGGCGGATGTGCTGGGCCCCTCTGCGCGGGAGCCTTCGTGCACTAGTGAGCGCCCACAGGAGCAGGGGACGCCCGCGCAGCAAGGGCAGCGGCAGCGGGCGCACGCGCAGCTACGGCAAGCAGAGCTAGCAAACCGGGGTGTGGCCAGCATCCCGCGGCGAGACGGTCAGTGGGTTGCTGACAAGAGCTGCCCCCGTTCTGCTGCCGTCGCTTGCAGGCTGTGGAGAGCCCGCTGTTGTGGAGTGAGGAGGAGCTAATTGAGCTGCTGCAGGGTGGGTGCCTGGGGCTTGACGGGTTTAGGGGTGGAGGG